GCTTTTGTAGTGTTCCAGCCTTTAATAGGCAGCACAGCCACACATCTCCAGTGAGGCTGGTGCAGGCTGATGAAGAGCACACCATACGAGTTTCTGACAAACAAATCAATAAGTAAGCAGCGAATGATCTCTCATCACAGTGGCATATTCGGGAGGAGTAATTCGTCTTTTTCCTAATGCATCATCGGTCAAGATTGAATAGTGCATTAAAGGCACTAAATTTTGGCCAGTGTTTCTGAGTTCAGAGGAGAAAGTCTTAACAGGACCAGCAAGACCTGTGTTAGCAGGCACAGCACAATAATATATTGTCCTTATGCATTATTTAATGGCACTGTGGGGATGATAGTGTTTGTGCACATTTCAAATTCTGTATGAGAGCATGTAGCTCCCTTAATTGGCTTGCTCAAGAGAGCCAAAGTGAAATGCTGTTCTAGTAGAAGATATTGATCAATGGGACCAGATGCAGCTGCTGAAAGCATTATCTAAATCAATGTCACCTTCAGGTAAACAGCAAAATACTAGAAGCTGCAGGTTTGCTATTATTCTACACTAGTGCTTTTTTCTGGTTTACACAATGATATCACATTTCTTCATCTAAATGACCATTTAGAGGCTCTGACACGCAGTGTCGAGTGCAACAGTTTAAGGCTGCCGCATGTGGCAGGACGACTGCACAGCACTGTTTCTTGAGGGAGATAGATGTCACCAATAATATTCTGAGTCATCAGACGGAACGGGCAACTGGCTGGTACTATGCAGTGATGCGCCTCTGCAGTTTAGATGCCATGTGCTCCATAGCAGGTTATAAGCATTTTCCCAATTGAATATTTGCGTCAGAATTTGGCTGCTCCAGCCAGGTGGAATATGCTATGCTTGGATTGTAACTGCTGCATACCCCTGGGATCAGCTTGACCATATTCATCCACAATATTCCTGAAGGAATTGGCTCTCTCACCACCTTATGAATTCTTTTATGAATCTGTATGCCTCTGCTAGACAGTTAGCCGCCCTCAAAATGACTATCCACTACTTCCCTCTATATCACAACCCGCAGTATCTTCTCCCTTGCACCTTGTTACTACATGTTGCGTGTTACAGAGCACAAAGCAGGTCAGTCTTTAACAACCAGAGCTTTTTGTACCTAACCTTTTCATCAGTTATTTGTCAGGAAAAAAACAACGACAATGTTAACAAGTGCACTGCAGACACAGATTCACACTTCTTGACAATAAATGACAGCTCTTCTTATTGAGACTTACTACGCAGATGCGAGAGGCTAAAAGCCCTCAGGGTAAAACGAGAATTGCCGCAATCATGACTTCCAAAGGTTACCAAGTCAGAATACAAATGCTCTTAAGAGATATCAAAAATGACCAAGTGCAAAAGCTACAAAGTCTTGCTACTCTGACTTCTGCACCTTTAAATTGTGCTTTTGAAATGCTTTAGCCAGTTTTCACCTGCTCTGCTTTTAAAGGACTTTTTTTTCAAATTCAACCTATTAACTTTTGATTGTGATGTATTTTTAGTCACACAACTAAAGTAAAAAAAAAAAACTAACTTAGCAAATAAGAGACTATATGTGCTGCTTGTCCTTTTCACAATCACAGGGGACACATCCCAGCATGCAACAGCAGATTCACAGAGTACATTTTGGACAGGTCAAACGTCTAAGCTACTAAAGTCACATTCACCTTCAAACAGGCGGTGTTTAAATCTTGCTTCTTGCATGCAGACAAACCCAGGAGTTAAGACCTTCTTGTAGTGAAGGAACATCAGCTTTCTGCACAAAAACCTGTTTTGTGTCCTCAGCACACTGCAGCATAATACACCGTGTGCTGATGAGCAAAAATAAATAATGTCTACGGAATAAATTATACATCTAAAATAAGCACCAAAAGTTGTTTAACAACTTACTGCAGTGGGCATTAAGTTTAATATGTTTTTTTGCTCTTGTATTTTCTCCCTGTTGAAATCCATCATGCCGCAAAGTTCAAAAGTGTTTTATGCATCTCAAGGCCTGTATGTTATTTACCTGCTTTTCCTCTTTTGAGAGCCCCACTGCTTTTTTTGTCACTTTGTTACTCGCTCAAATATAAAATCCAAGAGCAGCTCTAGTTTAATTGCTTCAGTGCTTTGGTGGCTACTCCTTTGATCTTTGTGGCTAGTTGTAATTATGCCATTTCTCGAACCTTTTTCATGCATCTCGAGTGCTAAATAACTTGCCCTGCCTTGGGAGAAACATCTATCTCATTCTTTTGACCAATAACAACTTAATTGGTACTTTTCACTTTTCTTTGCTGGTTCTTTTCTGCATGCAAAATCCAAACTTCAAGAAAAATGATCAAGAGGGTAGAGGAGTTTTTTCTAACTCCCTGACACCATTTATTTCTCTCGAGATATGCACAATATTATCCCCAAAAACTTTTTTTGCTCTTTGTTTCCTTAAATAAAATGTTATGACACTGCCATTTTTTCTGTCAAAAAACATGTTAGTCAATGCTGGAATCAGCCCACAATATCATATGTCACCATGATACGGTACATAACTGTGGAAAGAAATGACTAAAAATCATGCCAAAAGTCACTGCTTACACCACTATTTTAACTCTTAGATTGATAGCTTAGAGTATCTTGGAAAAAGTAATCCTTTCAGCAAATGTGTGCATTTTGAAAATGTCAAGCTGAGAACATGACTCACTGTAAAGGGCTATTTTAATATACCTTGTATAGAGAACAAATACATGTCTGCCCTATACAGTCTTTTATAGTCCTGAATACAGATCAATCGCTTGTGTTGTTTGCTCTCATTCCTGCAGTGGCTGATAACCCACCACTGGTCCTGATTTCATAATGCTAACACATGACACCAGCACCATGAGCAGCTGCTGTAACACAATGCAACAGAATGGCAAGGCAGAGAGACCTCATTAATCTAACCTCTCAGCCTGCATATAGCAGCCTAGAAAGCAAAATAGTAATAAAAAAAAAAAACTCAGCACACATGTCACTGTAACTTTCTCTTTATGGCATTACCTGCTGAGATATTAATTTGTTCTGCAGCAGTTTACTGCCTGCATTAGCATTGCTGAACATGGAAGTGTTGGCAATAATGCATGATAATGATAATGACCATCCTGTCTGATTTCATTAGGCAAACACATGACAGCAAATGCTCTGAGCTTCTGCTGTAACATCCTGCAACACGCTGACAAGTAAACTGACAAGACGTGATCATCACCACTTACTGCAACGCACACAGCTAGTAAAAAAGGCATTTAAATACATAAGAACCCTGCTTCATGCACTGCTAATTCAAATCACAAATCCTATGAAGCTCAAGGGTATCAACCCTGCAAAGAAGAAACCTCATTAACCCCTGATAAAGGAGACTTCTCAAGTCTCTTATGTCAAAACTTGTATGATGCGCAGTTTTAACCAAACATCATTTCAATTTGCTTTTTGCCAAAAACACAGGGTTAAATCTTTACTTCAAACTAAACAATAAGAGTGAGTCAAGCCCTCAAGACAGCTGTTTGTGCTCTTCTTACAATAAAAGCCTTACATGACAAATACAGTATAGTATTTTATTGCCTTTAGTCATCTGTCAGACTATGGTATAATTCCTTTATGACAACTGTTATTTTTTCACTTTACTGCAGTTGACAGCCGTGAAAACGGTGGGTGCTCTGTCATGTAGGAACATACATGCTAAAGGAGGGTGTATACCATAGATACAGCTGGCAGTCAGTGTTTTCCAGTAGCACTGCAAGCTGCAGTAACACTCACTGCCTGCCCTAATGTAGCCACACAGCTGTCCAATGTCTACATGTATCCCAGGGGAAGTCTTAGAAGGTATTGTGTGGATTAAGCGGGGCTATACGAGGAATGTTCACTTGACTTTAGTGAAAGATATTGACAATTTAACCCCACCTCAATCTAACTGATTTACAATCTCTATACCTCCATGCAGGCATCGTGAGTTCTCATTTTTCCTGCATGCTGTAACTGATGTCCTCTGAGTGATAAATAGATATTTCAGGGACAAATGCTGACCTCTGAAGCACTGTGCAAAAAACTGGGATAGCCACTCCATTGAGTCTAACAAGTCAGTGATTATAAAGTAACTGGAAAATGATGAGAGGGGCTGAAAATTCCAGCTGCAACCATTATAGGCAGAATTCACTCACAGTGCCCATGAGATCATTAGAATGCTGCATCAGTGCTTCTGTATCCCTTCATCATTTTTAAACCTGATTAGCTGATTTGCCAAAACAAAGGTCAGGAGTAGAATAATATACAGTGCACACATCCTGAAAAGGCCTCTACTCATTAAACAAATTCATCATCTGGCCGAATGTTTTTTAAACTTGCAAGTTAACAATACAGTTATAAGTTTCCTGATGGTTCAGGCTCTGTGGCTCCAGTGTAAGACGGCCCACTCTCTGAGCAATCAGTGCAATTTACCCTGATGGGAGAATTCCAGCAGCTGCTGCTAATTTATGAAAACTCTTGGTCTCTGAGTGGTGCTGATGCAGACACACCCGGGCCATTTCCACACGCGCTTGTGTCTGTGGGAATTCAACTCTTGTGTCACTGTTTAAGCGTCTTCATTGCAGTTAGGAGCTCTGTCAGCCCTATGACAGAGCTGTTGTGAGCCCATCGGACTCGGTCTATCAGATATATAACAGCACTAACAACCACGTGAGAACTGGATATCTCAAGTAACATGAAGACATCTTTGCCAGACAGGTTTATACCATATTATCCAGCAGACTACTGTGAATAGCCTTGAAAGACTTGCACATTATGCATCAAGATACATAAATGATTTGATAGATAGATAGATAGATACCGGAGGCCTATTATTCTATATTTAGTTTGCACAATCCATGCCGCACATCAGAAATCTGGACACCATTTAGCTCATCACATTGCACCCACGTATGTGTCACAGCTGCAAAAGTCTAATTTACATTTCTCACCAAGTCTGAGAGACTTACCAGAAGTGGAACTGGGACTAATATAGCAGAAGCCAAAGGCTTGATCCCAATGCACATGATCTCGCTGTCCACACACTTGTCTCAGCGGATAAATTCACAACGAAACTCGGATGGTGACGAGAGTTCATTTATTCCAAATTCAGGTGTAAAACCCTTCTTGTTACGCTGGTCAGGCTTGTGCTGCAAAAATCCAAGGGACCCAATGAGCGACAATCTGCTGCTTAAGTGTCATCAACAAGAGACAGTCCTTCCCAGTTACCTGCATCGGGATAAAACCCCACCTAAAATCCCAGTACGATCCGATTAGGGCTCGAAGGCAGGCAGAATATAATTAGGTTGAAATCTCTAAATCCAGAAGCTCAGGAGGGTCCGAGTGTAGCGTCCGAGTCGTCTTCAAATGGGTTAAAGCGTGAGTACGTGGTCGTAGCAGGTCCCCCGCATACGCGTTTGTAACGCGGAGGAACGATGGATTAAATTTCCAATAAATCTCACGCCTGTGATGAATTGCAGTACAGATGGTGTCGGGATGGAGAACTGCAGCATGGGGCTCTTTTTGAAGCGATAGGTTGCACTCCTGAAAAAAAGGGAAAAAAAGAAGCCTCACACGGTTGAAGGTTGGCGTCAAATTCGGGCTTCAAGTCAATCAAAAATAGCAAAGGTCGGAAAAGTCTCCACCAACACCGGGTTTCTGTTAATTACAGCACTAGAGCGCACTTATCGTGCCTAATTTCCTGACATTTATTTACCTTCACTGTAGACGTTTGTTGCCATAACTTCCCCTATCTGAAGCGCAATGAAGGAATCCCACCCATGCACTGATACTGTTTTTTCTCGCTCTCTCTCTTTCTCCTCTAACACTATGCGTACCCATGCGAGCAATTAGTTTTCATACACGACTTGGTCCGTCCGCTCTTTCTACAAAGCAATGCGGTCGATTTCTTCGGGCGGGATGTGGCAGGAAATCTTGCTGTGTCCCAGAGAACAGGCAACCTTTGAAAATGCGCCTCTACTCTTCATGCAGGCGTCCACCTGCGTAACACGAGCCGGCTATAAAAGAATACATTTGCTCACGCCATGATGTCTGGAGCAGAGCAGAGCCAAGTGGCCAGTGGACAAATTCTTGATATCAGAGGAAACGACTGACACCTTTCATGGACAGTGCAGCACTGCAGCAATGTGATGTCATTTGAGCTCCATTTAAAGCAAATACACGAAACACTGGAGGCTTTTCTTTTTCTGTGGTGGTGAGGAGAAGCAAATGTTTCAACATGAAGGTGGCTTGAAATAGAGAGGGGGTGCTGTGGGCTGTTTGTGATACTCCGGGATGGGCTGGTATCTCATGGTCCAGCACAACAAGATACTGCAACAGTGGACCGGAGGAGAGAGCCCTGAGGGAGGGGATTGAGGAGGTGTTGGATCATTGCTGCACTTAAAAAAAAATCACACTCGCTCTCCTTATAGGCAGTAGGAGGTGTTCAGTGTCTTGCATTTGGGATCTAAAGAATACTTCTAACCCTCCATACCTTTATTTTTTTTATTCGTATCCTTCTCAGTCTTGAACGGGCAAGATAACAAGTAAAAACATGAATTCATTGACCGCCCACACACATGTCCCAGACAGCACCTACTGCTTTGCTTTCCAGTTGGGACAAACACCCCTCTTAGCCCAGATCAGCAGAAATTGGATATCCAGCCTATAGAAAAATAACATGAACATCCTCCCACCAGTAAAAAAAAACAATAGTTAATCCTCTCAGAGTTGCAAAAGAAAGCCAAAGACAGCCCATTCGACATAAAGCCATCATGTTTTCCAGTGTTCTTTTTTGTCCGTGTTCATCCCCCAAGAGCATTGTCTGCTTGCATGGAGGCTGCATGACATCATGAAACAAGGAATTACTGTAAGATGGACTTGGCAGTTCCTGTAAAATCCTATTGATTTAGCTGCAGGAGCATCACATGTGCTGCACAGACTTGGACACATTATACATTAAATGTTGGCTGTTAAATACCTGGCATTCAAGACCTCAGAGGAGGAGATTCACCTTTAATGCAGATTTAAGTGTCTTCTGCAGGCTGAATTGATTAACCAAATAAAACTATCCCATCACATAGGAAAATTTAAGATACAATGAAAGTATCTCACATAACAGGCCCCAAATGTACAACTATAATAATGTGGAAATGACAAGAAATAAAAGTATGAGAAAGAAAAGTACAATAAATAACAAGGTTAATTCTCACAGAGTACTAAAGACACCTGGAATGTCTTTAGCAATAGAACAGTGAATCTCCACACTTATTCTTTTTCTTGGCTTCAGCTGTACGTTTTATCATCTTTGTTTGGGTACTGCAACATGACAGGTGTCATGATTATATGACTCAAAACAAGAGCATCAGCCTGTTTTAATTAAAGGGCAGTTCAAAATGGGTGGGACACCTCCAGGGTGTTTTATATGGAAGAGTGAGATGTAACACAAGCTCACTTTGGAAGACACTATACCTACAGGGTTGTTGTATTTGCTGCCTTCCCGATTTCTTTTTCTCTTTTTCTTTTTTTATATTTCTCATGTAAATGTTTCAGATATTTTAATATTACACTAAGATAACCTGAGTAAATATAAAATGCTGTTTTTAAACGATGATTTCCTGTATTAAGGAGAAAAAAATACCTTTCCAAACCTACCTGGCCCTATGTGAAAAAGTAACAGCTCTCCCTTTTTAAATCATGAATGAACTGCAATTAACCACATTAGTTGAAAAGCTGAGTTCAGTTTCACTAGCCATTCATAGGCCTGATTTCTTTCAGACCCGTGGAACAAAGAAATCACTTATATAGACAAAGTGTCTGCCGAAGTGAATTAGGCTGAAATATCTCAAAAAGCAACACATTATGAAACAATCAATTAGAATCATTGACTTCTACCAGTCTGGTAAGGGTTGCAAAACTCCAGTGTACTACGGGCATTATCCACAAGTGGAGAAAACATAGAACAGGAAACATATGGAAATATGTAATGTAGCTGTTGCTGTTCTGTTGCTGTTCTGTGAGTCTATCGTGCAAGTGGTGTGATATGCCCATGTAGAACGGACGGCACTGCAATGCTGGACTTGCCCTTACTCTGGGCTCCCTCTTTATTCTGGCAACTGGTACAAAGAAAACAGCACACAGTCGTCATTAACAGTGTGCAAAGCAACTGCAACATTCAGTTCACCAGCTTGGGAGGTTTTTTTTCCTTTTTCCTTCATAGAAAACATAGGAAATACAGGTGCAGAAATACAGGTACAGAAATATACTGGTGGTGGTCAGAGGGCCCGGTGGCGCCTGTGTCCGGCAGCCTCGCCTCTGTCAGTGCGCCCCAGGGCAGCTGTGGCTACAATGTAGCTTGCCATCGCCAGTGTGTGAATGTGTGTGTGAATGGGTGAATGACTGAATGTAGTGTAAAGCGCTTTGGGGTCCTTAAGGACTAGAAAAGCGCTATACAAATGCAGGCCATTTACCATTTACCATAGGAAACATAGAACCTTCTCAAGAGGGGCTGGCCTACCAAAATTATTAACAAAAATCTTAAAAACATCTTACACAAGACTTTTGGGGAAATAGTCTATAGAGTGATGAGACAGAAGCTGAACTTCTTGGGAGGTTTGACTCTGGTTACAGCTAGCATAATATTAACACAGCATTTCATAAAAAACAAGTCAGACATGGTGGTGGTAGTGTGATGGTCCGGGGCTGGCTGCTTTGATGCTTCAGGAGCTGCAGGACTTACTGTAACTAATGGTACCGTGAATTTGGCTCAAGCGTAGAATTGGTAACACTAAAGTATATTTCATGGATGATCTGAAATATCTTGAATCTGACAAATATGGGGAAAAAAAATTCAAAACATTTGTCACAGTGCTGCATATACGTGTAACTCAGTTAATATCAATAAAACAGTTATTTTTGAAAGGTTGGAAACAATATGAACTCAGATTCTCACACATCTTTAAACTAATTTTGTGCCCTCTGAACAGATGCCACTCTTTCAGAATATCATTGTGTTTTAGTATGTGCCGGAGCATTTTGGTTTTATGATATGATTTCTCTCAGCTCTGTCTGAACGAGGTGGGTGAGTACATAAGACACAAGCAGCAAATACTGATGGAAACTGAAAAAGAGCCACGATGGAAGACAATCTGCTATTTATATCAGGCTGCACTCCATGGGGCAAAGCTCCCTCTTGCAGTAATGCACTCTAAAAGTGATTGATTAGTGTGTTATTGAGATATTGTCCATCTTAACGTTCCTCTCTTGCCAAAGTGATGAAATTACCGCACACTAGTCCGTGAAAGCATAATAGCAGATTAGGTCAGTGTGAGCCATCCACTCTAATCAGGAAACTTGACATTCCCTAAAATGGTAAACATGAGTGGGGGGTCTTCACTTAGATCCCGAATGTACCACCCAGCCACTAATACCCTTAGACAGCGTGCTTAATGACTTGGAATATTTTACTGAGGTTCTTTAATTTAGATTCAACCATACATGGTCTCTGTATGTGCACATCTGAAAATGTCATTTCCAACACAACACTGTTGCCCTTTGTTTGAACACATTGTGCAGATCACTTTCCATATGGACAGTAAAACACTCACACTCACTAGCTGAGCCCAGACAAAATCTAAAGTGTGATGCGCCATCAGTTTAGCACGTCAGAGAAATGTCGCGTGTGTATGTGTATGCGAAATTGGGAATAAAGTTGGTGCATTGACAGAGACAATAAAACTCTATCCTCTGGAACAGCAACATCATTACAGAGCAGTACATCCAGTGCAGATTAGAGCAGTCTTGTTTATACCACTGAATCACCCTGTACATTAGCGCCCTCGCTCACAGTGCAAAAAGTTCCTCTTAATGTGTTTTAAACCCTCCATCACATCATCAAAAGCGGAAACACTGTAGATGTGATTTCCACTATAAGGTCTCTAACAAGAGCAGTGCTTTGTTAGCATGGTATAAAAAAAAGGAAAAAGAAAGAGAATAAAAAACAGACATCAGCAGGAGGCTGCCTGTTTCAGCAGATGTCACCCTGCTAGAATTACATAGATAATAGACACGAACAGGTGACAAATTAAAGGCAAAGCCAACATAGTCTGGCCAAGATATTTTCACAGTCCGTGCTTTAATGATTGTAGTGGTGAGCGCTGCAACACGTTCGTCTACAATCTATTGGTGTTCAACCTGGTTGTGATATCGTGGCTGTGAAGGCCATAGTATGTGATTTACATTATTTTCACACTAATCAAACAGTTCAGTGAGCCCTCGTGCCCTGTGGGTGGTGAAACTGTCATCCTAGAAAAGAGTTCTCTTGTCAAGATGATCTATTATGGCATAAAGGCGATCTCCAGAACAACCTTCTACTGCAGTGACTCTTCCCTCACAGATCCCTTCACTGTAGGGGTCAAGGGTTCAGATTTTTCTTTCAGAATTGCATGTATGCAGAGCTCTCAGTGCTCCTTTGTTTTATTCAAGCATGTTTATCCTCTGACCCCCGCACACACACACAAAGAAAGAAAATGATGCTTTAAAATACTCCTCTTTTCAGCTTCAGTAAAAATTTATGAATAGTGTATGTTACATAGAACATGTAGCACAAACATCAGGCATCATCTGCATTTGCTGTTTGATCAGCGTGTAAATAACGGGTCATTCTCATAGCATCTGTGTCACAAATGCCATAAACATTATACATTATTCAGGTTGCATAGCAAGTACAATCATGCTTTCATGTTTCCTACTGTACTGCATGTCAGCCTTGGCTTGCTCTACTTTAAATTAAACAAGTGCTGCTTTTGGCAGAAATGTTGAGGACTCTTAAGTGTGTTCGTGTGTGAGAAATCTTAAAGATAGACGTAGGCCATCTGGATAAGTGTGAGGTGCAGTTCACTCAGAAGCGGTCCTTCGGGTGGGTCTTTATGGCTGAAAATCTTAAAAGAATCCTGCTGCTCTTCAGAAACAGAAGACAAAGCTTTAAGATGAAAGAGTTTCACTTGTGAAGGCTTTCATCAGTGTTATATATAATTAATTCCCAGGGACATGTAGAACAGCCACTTAGATGCAAGTATTCGAAAACATTAAAAATCATACCACCAAGTGTAATTAAGGATCTGACACAGTACCATATCAAAACAGCTAGAGGATATGCTTAAAAATCAGGTCCCCCCACTTATTCATCTCAGGTTAAGA